TTCAGCTCCTGGATTTTGAAGGGGAACAGAATGAGTTGAGCCTGCCTGTCACTTGCCGGTTTTGTGTCCTTTGGCAGAGGTGTCTTTTGACCCTGCTCCTTTATCTTTAAAACATGGATAATAAAATCAGTCTTAAAACTTTGAGGAATACAATTAAAGTGTACAAAAATGTGTACTACAGGTGTTTATTCAATAATATTAATATTGACTATAATTCAAGGTAAATCCAAATTTAGCATAGCAACTTAGAGTTTTCAATTAATGTCAACCACGTCACATTTAGGCTCCAAAGGGACTTCAAAATCAACATCTGGAAAAGAAAGCCACAGTCTCCTTTTTCAAATCTCTCTTCATCTAGGATTCCCTGTCCCAGCAAATGGGATAGATCACCATCTACATCCAATGAGAGGAGGGGAGAGGGAGGGTGAGAGAAGGGAGAAGGGAGGAGGAGAAGGAGGGAGAGAAAGACAAAAAGAAAAATGAGAAGAAACCCTGGTGTTGTCTTGAAATTCTCTCTCTCAGCCACCATAGCCACCATCTGCTGAAGATCTATCTATAAAGTATGTCCAGTCTCCTCCCTGACTTACTTTAACACGACCCCCACCCCAATGGGTAAGGTTATATTTCTTCTTCTTCTTCTACTCTTTCTTTCTCAATAGGCTGTCTTTGCTCTAACTGTCATGGTTTTTAAGCCACAAGAAAACATCACTTCTTGCTTGAGCCCATATAACACCTTCCTATTGCTCGTACTGTGAGTGCTCTATGGACCTGGGTCCTGCCTTGCTGTGAGGTCCTGTGCTCTTTACATCACTATGTCACCTCCACCTTTAGCACTGTGACACCTTTCTGGAGTCCTTGTCTTAGCCATACTGGTTGTGACCCATCCCTCATATTCCCCGAAGTTGCGGTAACTGTGTGAAGAAACTAATGAGGATGATTTTCTCATTCAACCTTGAGGCCACACATACCTTGGAGGACATTGTTCTCATAACTGGACACGGAGGACAGGACTCTGTATAAAGAAGCAAGGGGAGGGTCTCAGACCACTTCCCACCCTATGGACAATTTCATTTTCTGAATTTCTCTTTTTCTTTTGTTTATACCTTTATTTTGTTTATTTATTTTTATGTGGTGCCAAGGATCAAACCCAGTGCCTCACACATGCAAGGCAAGTGCTCTACTGCTGAGCCATAGCCCCAGCCCCTCTTTCTCCTTTTCCTGAAATGTTCTTTGCCTTCTTTTCTCTCTTTATAGATCCTCCCTTGTGTTTCTATTTTCCTCTATTTAGTATGATTTCAAGCCAAAGTCATGTGAATTTCAATCACTCTTAAACAGAATGGAGGGCATCTGAGGATTTCTGGAAAATCAACAAAAACTGCATTCATACCTACGGCTTGTGTGTCATTCACCTCATTTAAAGTGTTCAATAGTTCTGCTAAGGAGTAAGTGGGCGTCAATGTGTGAAAAAATGAGAATAGATTTTAGCAAGAAGGGGCTGGTGACACCAAAAAAAAAAAAGTTTGATTGTTTATATGCTGTCCCTTTTCAGAGCTGTCCCTGTGTCCTTCTGATATGACTATGAACAAACAAGTATTTCCACATTGACTACCACATGTGTAAAGTCACACCAACAAATGTGCCTGCAACTTTTGGAGTTAGAAGGAAACAATTACGTTTGATTCTTCTTTTTCAGATACATATTTGCATCCAGAGCTATTCAAAGTCATAGATTCCATCCTTTTCGTGACCCTTAAAGTAGTACAGTAGCTAAATGTTCACACTTGTCCTTTTTAGCTTTAAAAGAAATGTCACATACTAGGTTTCTGTAAATGACCCACATTCAGATGTGAACCAAACATAATAGCTTCTGCCACTCACCAAGCAATGAATTGCCGCAAATGTAGGACACAGGGCAGAGGACTTGGTAAATTGCTTTGTTTCATTGGCCATCATCGGAACCTGTGGCATAATATGTGACCTATTTCTATAAACAATCATGCCTAAGGCTTTGCAGACAGGTGGAATGTAGTTTCTCTTTTAATTACATTTTGAAGAAATAATTTAAAAGTAACAAAATTTTTTCAGCCATTGAATCATTATATTGTTAAAGGAAATCCACATTTGTAACCATTACCATATCACGACATATACTTGAATAGAATAAAATTTTCACTTTTTATTAAAAAAAAGACAACTCAAGACAACAAAAGCTGCAAGAGTTCTACAATGGACTTGTATAATCTTCTTCCAGATCCACTAATTGTTAAAAAATATTTCATCTGTGCTTTTCTTTTTGTCCTCTCATATAGGATCCAATAGCTTAAATTTTATATAATTCAGTTTGATATTTTCATATGCACATATATACATCTAAAATGGCAGAAAATGAGTAAAAATGTGTATGTGTATGATTCTGATCCACTTGAGAATAATGGAATTATTCTCAAGTGGATCAGAATCATATGACTCACATGCTGTACTTACAGAGGGAATAGTTTTTTCCTTTCTCTTTCATCAATGTCACCAATATGTTTATAAAATTGAAACTTTTTCACATTGTTTATTTGTATTTTTCAGAAATTTACCTAATAATGTTGGACTCTAACTTTCCAAAGAGGACCAAAAAGGTGGAGGATCAAAATTACACAAAAGTATAAAATACCCTTTTATCCAATAGAATCAAGTGTTTCACATTATATAGGTGTTCCATTACTTGACTAATTATATAATCAAAAATTACTTAATTATTGATGTTCAGTTTGTTTATGTTTATTTTGCATCTGTACCCATAGACTGTTTTTTCCTTGTGTGATAAGTAAGCTGGCTATAAAGAGCTTTAAAATATGCTAAAACGAATAAAGGTTAGTAAATTGACTCATTAACAACCCTTCATCAAGCTTTCCACCAGAAAATACCATCCAAAATGGAAAAAAAAATTTTTTTAAGTAAAATGCAATTAATGTTTGTACAGCTTTCCATATTCCAATGTGCCACTTTGTTCTCTGTCAAAACATTTGTTTACCGTCCTGTAGATCCAGGCTTGGATGTTTACATAATTATTCTTTCACACAGAATGAAAGAGAAATAAAAACAAGACAGACATTTTCTGGGCAAAAGGAACAGAAGCCCGCAGAAACAGGACTGTGATTCCTAATTAATTCAAAGTTAATTGCATTGTTGATAATCCTGCACTTAAAATCTTCATATAGAAAATGTTTATGGCAGCAAATTGACAGTAATTTAACTACATTAAATCTTATCACCATTAAAAGAAAAAAAAAAGATGAATGTTACATTAAACAAGCTTAAGAGAATGGCGAAGACTAGTTCTTGTTTAACAAGCCAACTAGTAAATCATTTGAATGGCTGACCTAGACTCTCCAAACAGCACAAAATCCACCTACTGGTGTATTCAAGATGGTAGTAGGCGGGATGGGGGCATTTCTCAGCAATAGATGGCTTGCTGAGCATGCGCAAATCCCTGTTTGCGCCCTCAAGGGCATATAGTCTGTCCTGGGTCATCAATTATGCAGAGTGGCAGTTTGTGATTATTTTCATTGAGTGGAATGCAAAATGGTTAAGAAATAAAAAAGACACACAGACCCTATTTTACTGTGAGAGTCAAAAAGTCTATTTTACTATTTTGGAAGAATCAAGGTAGAGGTAGTGAGTGAACCAAAGATATTAGTTGCATCAGTTATTTGAACTCAACATTATGGAATGAAATAAATTTAATAGTTATCCCTGAGTTTGGATTCTGTCTGTTACCTGTAGACAGTATGGCTAACTTTGTTTAATCTTAGTATTAATGTGCAAAAGGCAGGATTAAGGTAAGGCTCCAATCACACAATGGATGTGAAGTTGCCATTATAATGGGAAGTAAAAAAAAATATTCTGTCCACTAAAGCAAAATCTAATTATTCTGACCATCAGAACAAAAATTACTGTCCATGAATTCTCCACTTCGAATGTGTAGAAAGGCACTTCTATGGGATGCCTAAATATCTGGATAGTGTGATTTATGCCTTAGGCATTATTAAAAGATTTAATTCTCTCCGGTCACAGTGGCACATGCCTGTAATCCCAGAGGCTCTGGAGGCTGAAGCAGGAGGATTGCAAATTCAAAGCAATTTAGCAAGGTCCTAAGCAACTTAGAAAGACTGTGTCTCTAAGTAAAAAAAAAATACATACATACATACACACACACACAAGGCTGGGGATGTGGCTGGATCTGTGGTTAAGCACCCTGAATATCCCTGGTACAAAAATGGTAGTTTATTGATACACATTAGGGTTCTTGGTCTGTCCTATGGACAGTTAGTGGCATGGTAAAACTCTTCTTGTTGGATTAGTTCCAGGTATACAAAATGAGTGAGTGATAAATATGGAATTTCCTCAGATTTTCAATTTCACTCAATATTTTGAAAATTAAAACATATATTAAAATAAATGGTGGATTAAGGATAGTAACACCTTTTCTCTTTCCTATGGTTAAGGGTACTTAATGGAAAAGTCATAAGCATGCATCTAATTAGTGTCTAGAAAACTCATCTAAATATTACTTAAAAATCAAGGAATTAATGGAGTTTCTATCTTGGGGGACACTAAAACCAACTCATGGAGGAAGTATAAATCCAAATTTAATATTTCTTTAGACAAATTCCTAGTATTTGAACTAATTTGGATATCCACAATCCCATAAATGGTCAAGTCTGTCTTCATATTTTGAAGTCTTTACTTAGATATCAACAATCAGAATCAATAAGTTTGTAGGAAATAACTGCAAAAACAATCAAATTTGCTTTTTGGTTGAGTTATAATATTTAGCTGATAAAAGTATTAAATAATTTCTGGAATTTGAATTATCTTAGATTTCTGGAAAAAAGAACAAATGAATTTAATAAACAGAAATTGATAAAAAAAGGTACAATTTAAGACTTTGAAAGTAAAAGTAAGATTTGGAAGAAGGAAAAACAGATAACAGATGCTTTTATTCTTAGGTTGCACAGTGACTCTTGGATATTGGATGCATTTCAGCGTATCCACAGTGAAGAATCCAAGTTCTTCATTCCCTATGATTTGGAGATTTCCAATCAGGAGCTAAGTTACATAGTAAAAAGATCCCAGCAATGGAGAGGAACCAATGGTGAACGAAGGAAGGTACGTTGATGTGAAGTGGTTTTGCTTTCTGGCTGCACGAAAGAAACTCATTTTGTTTGCATTATCAACAAGTTACATTTTCTTATGTTGTACTTGAAATTACTTATATTGTATTTGCCACTTTCTTTTTTTTTTTTTAAACAAATCTTTCAATTTCACTTCATATAGTTTTTATTACTCAAAGAGACTAGGTCAGATGGTTCTTATAGTTTAGCACTATTGTTTTCTAAGAGAAACATTTATTAATACATGTGTTTATTTATTAATACCTGTGTTTGTGGGTGTATATGTATTCTGTGTGTACATGTATATACACACATATATGTGTGCATGTGTGTGTGTATATATATATTTCTATATATGTGTGTTCTATATGTATATTTATATCTTTATAATAAAACAGCATAAAGGTTGTGAGGAATATAACAGGAGCTAGTAACAGGGTTTCTGCCTGTGAACTGATGATTGGCTTTAATGTAGCCTTGCATGAACAAGAGGAAGAGACTGTTCTTTTCCACCTCTGGGGCCCTTAGTCAGTCCGCTGGCTTCTCCTCCCTCTTGGTAATATACCTCCTAGGCTTTTTTCTTTTGGCTTTCCTTCCTCCACCAACCTCTTCCTCAGTGTCTTCCAGGGTTCTAATCTGGTTTATTACTCTCCCTACTCTTCATGCTTGTCTTTTGTTAACCTCCTTTCAAAATGTCTTCCACTCTGTTGAAGATTCTCAAATAGGCACCTCACTTCCTAGCAACTTGATGTTTCCAGAGGGTCATCTCAAGGATACCTAAAATCCAGTCCGGTCCAGACAAAGTTGGTTTCACACATATTATTTAATGAGCACATGCATTTCACCTGTGTCAGGAAACCACATATTCACACTTTGATAATTTTTGTACATCATACTGTTTCAATTTTTCTAAATTGTGAAGGCCCCAAACGCAAGAGTCTATCTCAATTTCCCTTGTCTCCTAGAATTTTTTTTAAAATTTTTTAAAATGTCTTTATTTTATTTGTTTGTTTATTTTTATGGTGCTGAGGATCAAACCCAGGGCCTCGTAAGTGCTAGGCGAGCGCTCTACCGCTGAGCCACAACCTCAACCCCTCCTAAATTTTTTGATCATTAAGTGCTATAGAATCCACTCTCTTCATGACTTCTGTAAGTCTTCTGCTACTCCATGTATCCAGGCCCACAAGAGCCAACTGCTAAAGAACAGCAATACGTTGCTAACTGTGTCTGGAAATTCATTCTCCTATCTCAGAGGCATTTCTAACATCCAAATGTGACCTTGCCTTCCTCTGTCATAAATTCTTCAATAGCTTCGAGGAAAAAAAAACCCTCAAAATTCTTAATATTATGTGATTGCCATTTGATGGGCTTCTTCCCTACATTTTTTGGTCATATCTTCTCTATCTTCATCCTTCCCACCTCTTCCCACTCAGATGCTTTCTAATCAAAGATACGACTGAGTCAAAAATATGAATAATCTGCTGAACGTACCAAACTGTGTCACATTGCTGTACATTTCTTTCTGTTGAGGGAACCCCCTTCAAGTCCTCATGTCCTACTAACCACTAGCCAGGACTCATCTCAAGTGTCTTTTCTATGGTTCCAACCCAAAGAGCATCATTTCCTTTTTGTTAAAATTTCCTGTTTTTATTTTTTTCTGATTCTTGTAGCATCCAACACATAATGTGAGAATTACCCATTCATATGTCCCTCTTTCTTTTACTAAGATCTCCTTATGGAATAAGAGTGACTTCTCCATCCTTATGTCTCTAAACTTCCTTACCTGTTTACTGGCTATTTGTTCAAGACTATATAAAAGAAGGAATGCATGAATAATTGAATATACTTAAGTTACCCAGAGAATGAACATATAATGAACCTCATCCTATTCCCTACTTGATAGAAATTTAAACATTAGCTTTTAAAAACTTTCCATATGGAATCTATTAGTATATTCAATATGTCTTAAATTCCGTTTCTTTGATAGTTAACATAAGGGTATAACAGACAAGTCCAAGACCACTATTCCTGAACTGAAACAAAACAAATTTTATTCTACCATATATTTATCCTGATTTCTTCTCTTCAAACATCCTTGACTAACAGCAAGATTTGTAAAGGTCGAAAATTATTGAAATTAATTAAGCAAAGAGCACTTCCTCTCTAAGTTAATTTCACAGTGCCTGGGGTAGGTAGAATGCATTTATTTCATTATTAAGTTTCACAACATGGAAGTTTAGGAATTTGGAAACAATCCAAAGCTGAGTACCAAAATTATTGGAGTTGAACAACAGCTAAAAGGAAAAAAAAACAAAACTATTCGAGTATTATTCGAGTATTCATTAGTTCTATGTTAACAAGGGAATGAAGACAGAGACCAAAACAGAGAAGGAGGCAGCTAATATATGTGATAAAAAATTGAATGAGGTTTCAAATTATTTAGTTCCTTGGGTTGAAGATTTATGCTGTTCTTTGTAAACTAATTTGTATGGCCCCTGATGAGCAAGAGTAGAAATCAGGAGGAGAACTCAAACCTTTGAGGGTCCACATTTTTATGTGTACACATTCTAATGGATCAAAGAAAAGATAATTTGATTAACAATTTTTACTTTGATTAATAATTAAACAATTTAATCAAAGTCATTGAGTATATTTTGGCTTAATTCAGTCGGATCTTTGAAGGAAATTTATATGTCTAGATAAATAGCTATTGTTCCCTTTACACAAGTAGAGGCTTAGCTTCCGTCAGAGGTGAGCATCCTGGAGATAATTTATGCAAACCATTTGAAAACCCATTAAATAGCAGTTATTTCTTGTGGTTTGGGGTTATGTTTCTTTAGTATACACAAACTTATATATATCCACTTAAGTTTATGCATCTTCATACTCTGGATATTTGTACCTCAAAAACTTCCTTTGATGATTAATTTCTGTATGTTATTCTTATCAATGCTGTCTTCTGTTTGCTTGTTTGGTTTGTTTCAATAGCAAGCAAGGTTGCCCTGTGGAGTAATCGATATACTGATTTCAAGACATAGTGCCAGTTTGGAAAAAATCATTTATAATCTAAAATGCCAAATTAACAGTAGAATAGGCATTTTAATACAGAAGTATTTCATGTAAGTAGTCTAGAATTTTAGTGTTCTACAGATTTGATCTAGATGTGTCTCATAATACTGTTAAGCACATGCTTCTTATTTTTATGATCTAGAACAAAAATTGCTTCATCAATGGACACTTTATAATATGCTTTATTTCCTTTTATTAAATTGATAAATGCAAAAGCACAGAACACATTTACAGTATGATGAGAAGTTAAGATTATTGCATCTTATAATTTTTATATTGTTCATACATACAATCTGTCACTTGTGTTAAGATAGTCAGATGATAATTTCACAGTGTTTCAACTATTTTTTTTTTGATAAGGAAAAGGTCACTTTCAGTAGTCAGAAAAGACATCATTCTATTAAACTAATTTGCCTACATGCAAATTTTGTCATTTTTACCTCATTAACTATTTATCATGGAGTAAAAAAATATATATATTCATGAAGGGGCAGCTCACAGCCTGATGGAGCTGGAACTAATATTTTGCAACTCTAATGATTTTTTGCATCCTTAATTAGATAGCATAAGGTTGATATGATTAGGTCAGGATGTAGTGTTTTTCATTAAAATACATTTTAGAAGCTGTATTCATAATCTGCCCTTGCAATTAAATAATGAGCCTATGAATTTAATATTATCGACCCAATTATTATCCCATGCAAACGTATACCTTTAATAAATTTGTGCCGTAGGACCTTCATTAGCAACAGAAAGAATGATATTTCTAGATACATAGATTGAATGGCTATGGTTAAACTTATATAATGGTTTTAAATATATCAGGAAGCACGGCTTCAATACCTAGGCATTTAATTCCAAAATGTGCCTTACTATTTGTTGAAGACTAATTTACATTGTAATTATTTTCTTAAAGAAACTACCACTTTAAAACAGGCTATTGAAGCTCATAAAAATAGCAGGATATTAGGAAGAGATGGAGGGTTAAACCCAGTCGTGCATCATGGGACAATAGTGTGTAAATTTAGAGATCCATTCAAGAGCAAAATTGGAAAACATAAAATCTAAAATGTCTACTTCTCAAATGTCTATATTATCTATTAACAATCATTTGCAATTAATGAAGATTATTATTTTGTTGTGGCATGTTAGAAAATCATTTTTGTTAATAGATGGCTGTACAGTGGAAGAAGGAATTGCCTCTCTCTTGTCATGAAACTGTACAGGGAAATATACAGAAACAAACCCAGTTTGCTCATTTTTAAATGAGTTTTTACTAAGCTGCTGCTACTATTTTTTTTTTTTTTTTTTTTTTTTGTGCACTGGGACAGTGAATACAACAATCGACACCTGGAGTTCATTCTTGATGCATTTTTATTAAGAAGGTTATATACAATTCATGTTTTAATAAAATAATATAATTAAGAAAAACCGAATCTATGTTTAGTAATGCGTTATATAGAGAGGTAAAACCAAGCGTCGTCTACACAGCAAATTGCAGATCAGGTGACTGTAGGACTTCAGTGTTTTTCTAGAAGTATTGCACACTTCTGCTTAGGGAGTGCAGTCAATCAGGGTAGGGGAAAGCTTTTATGGACATGGAAGGAAAGCGAAAGTCACACAGAGAAAAGGAAGTATACTGGTGAAGATTTGGAGGGGACACACTCAGACTTCACCATGTGAAAGGAGAGAGAGAGAATAGACACCTGCTGACAGGAAGTATTAAGGCAAATTTGGAAACTAAGGCAATTTGTTTGGGCTGCAAGGAAGGGCAGAAATTTGACCATGAGCCAGGAAGACTGAGAACAGGAAATTACCCAGTGATGGCGATGGTACTTTTCGGACAGGCCTTGGGAAGCCATTCAGAATTTTAATAAAGAGAAGTAACTCATGTGGGTAAGAATCTGTGTTGTCTTTCTATTGAAT